CTCCAGCATTTAAAAAATGTTGCAATGAATAAATCCAGCCAATCCTGGCACAGGAGGATTGTTATTCTCAGCCAGCTGGAAGTATACTCTTCCTAAGGCAAATTCTCCTGCCCACATTAATGCCAAATAGGCCATCTTTTCACTTATAACTAGCAGGTCCTGTAGCAATTCAGTTGAGAGGATGCTGAAGAAAAAGGCTGCAGATGGAGCGAGTTGCTTTTAAAATAAAGGAGAGATCAGCAAGAGCAACTGTTGCACAGGTCCCATATTCAAAGACTGAACATTGCTGCAGAGGATTGCAGCACCCCTTTCATAGACAGCAGCAGGGATAGAAAGGATGAGAATTGGTTAATCACTTCTCTGGGGATGGCATTTATCAGCTCTTATATCCTCCCCTGGGTGAGGTTTAAGCATACAGAAATGTGATTTGCATTATTCTTAAATAGAAGATTATTCATGTGATGTTGTTTGAGTATCCATACTACCAGCTCTGATACTCCACACATGTAAAGCAAAATAGTCCCATCAACTTCCTCTGGTTCACCAAGTGCTTTGCTAACAAAATAAACTTTTGCTCCTGGTAAAGGAGACCCAAGACTTCAGCTGTTTCCTGAAAGTAATGTTTTTCATTGCTTTCATCCAGGACAACTCTGTTGAATATTCATAGAATTTGAGTCACTACAAAACTGCTGCTGTGACAGCTTGATGCATTATTCAGTCAGCAGCATTTAAATCTCCAGACAAGTTTGTTCTTTACACAGCTTTTTCGAATTAATATTTCCATTTTTATACAGAATTCAGTACTATAATTCAGGACACAGTACACTAGGATCAAATATATATGTCAGAAAATGCTGACAATGTGTCAATCCAGCTGAAACCAGAAAGCACTCATAGTTGGAGGTTTTATAAATAAGAGACTTCAAGATTTTTGTCATGAAATGTCCAGCTGTCATTCTCATAAGAAAAATGAAATGAACATTCCAAATATTTGTGTCACTTTTTCATTTATATTTAGAGGTAGCAGATAGCTCTTTGATCCTGCTGAGTAACAGGATTCAAAAGCAAGTTATTAGTCATGACTATTACAGTTGTGATCCTGCACATTATTATTATTATAGTATTAGATCATTAGATTTTGCACAACACTTTGTGTTTAGTGCAGCTACTACAGACTTTGGTATCTCCTACTATCTGACTGCTTACGAAACAGAAGTAATACACCTCAAGTCTCAACTTTCACGTGGTAAAGAGGTTTTACTGGCTTCAGCTGAAGCTCTGTCCATTGGTTTGCAAATGCAGTGACACTTACTGATTCCAGACTAGCAAATAATCAGAGGACCTAATTTATATAATTCTTTGTATAAAAGATGTGAACAGAACTTCTGTACAATAAAGGTCTAAGTTTTGTAATACAAGGCTTTTGCATGACAAGAGAGGTTCTTTTTCACTTGGTTAAGAGCACTGCCCTCACTTGCTATGTAAAATTTTAATGTATGTGCTGTGTGTTCCATTCTTCTAAAGCCTCATGCAAAGCTTTGATTAAATAACGATGTGGCATGTTGTAAATGCTAACCTCTATCTGAGATCTGAAACAAATGCAATGACTTTCAAAATTCAAAGCAGTGAGCATCTTTTTAATAGCTATGTCAACCCTGAAGCACAAAGCAGCAGAAAAACAAGTCCTTCAACATTCATGTTTTCCCTGAACTCTACAAAGCTCACAAGCAATGACTTGCAAAGTCCTCTTTGGTGTAGCTGATCCAGACCTTTGGCCAGGAGAGACACCCACTCCTGCCCATAGGCCTTCCCTGCTGCATGCTTGGCAGCTGTCACCAGCGTTTCTTGGACTGCTTCCTTTTCCCCCTCTCCCTGATAGCAAGATTTAAGGCTTCAAATCCCTATGAGCCTTGGCTTTCAGCATTAGGAAGACAAGGTGGCATCGAGCTAGGGAGAGACAAACCAGTTCTCTCTGCATTGTTTCTCTGTGACTACTGTAAGGTTTTGTGAGTTATCCCACTGCAGTCATTGGAGTTTGTTACCTTTTGACACACAGTGAATTGCACTGTGAGCACATGGACAAACAGATCTCCATTGGAGACATGGCTTAAAATCAGTGATAGACAGCCTCTCCATCAATTTTTATGCTAAAAAATATTAAATTTTAAGAAACAATTCATGGCAGCACGTCTGCATTGACCAGGTACAAGGTTCTGATATTCTGTTTGTCCTCACTCAGACAAACTTGAGTCTTGATGGTGCAATCCATGCACCAGTGTTTTGCGTGCTCTCTGTAACACCTTTGTTTCCCTCCCCCAGAGAAGAGGCACTCCTACTTCCTTTATTCCAATAGTGAGGAACAGCCTGGTATCCCATCTAGGATCTGCAGCCTTTGAACAATGCTGGGAGAAGAAATTTCAAACTATTACTGCATGATGATGAAGGCAAGAACTACATGACTGTCCTGATGGTTAACTGGACCTTCTGCTCATTCTCAGCACAGTAAAGACAAGGTTGGGAGCCTACTGTTACAGGAGTGACTGTGACAACATTGTCAGTAAAATCCACATGAAACTACAGTATATATGTTACAGGGACCAAATGTTCTCAGAAGTTTGAACTGAATCTTTATGAGTTTACTAACTTACAAGGAGGGTCTGCAAACAAGTGGCAGTACTGCAATATCACAACATACACTCTTTTCTGACTGTGATGGATGGCATTCTCCTGCTCACTAAGTTGCTATGCCAACAGATTCACCTCAGGCACTTCCCACATTTCAGACTTACTGGAGAGAACAAGCTGTGGCCAATTCTGTGCATAGAATATGTAGTCTGAGTTGGTGCCTTTTTTTAATTTGCTGGCTGTTGGAGTTTTTAAATTAGCTGTATAACTTTCACTTCTGGCTTCTGAGACATCTCTGGCTAAATACTATGCTACAGGTAAGCTGAGCAAATGTAGGAAACACCAGGGTATGAAAACACAACTGCAGTCATCCCTGTTCTGTATGGAAACTATATGACTACCCTCCAAAGATTTGAAAAACATTAAAACAAACAAATGAAAAAGTATCATGCATCTACTCTGTTCAAGTCTGGCAGCATTTTGTGTATCAGGACAAGGTACTAGCCAGATATAAATGTGCTGGTTACACAATGAATTAAATTCACAATGTTTACACTGAGCTTTGCTTACCTTGAGGGGGTAGGAGGTGGATGATTTAGAAAACGAAAGTCCCAAATGCACTACTGCTACAAAGTTCCACCAAAACATACAGAATAAACATGAGAGACAAATTTGCCCTAATATGCTAAAATGTGAATGAACTTCACTTGCTTAAAACAGAACTGTAAGAATTTAGACCTAATCATTTTAATACAGATTAAGTATAACTTATAGACGTTGAGGAAACGCTTCCAGGGAGGTTGTTGGCTATAAATACAGTGAAAAGATTTCCTCTACAGATCATTTACTCTATCTTAGAAAATATATTTCTTTTTCTCCAGGAAGCAAGAGCTAACATTTTGCACCTAGAAACAGATACAGAATCAATTGTACAATGAACTTACAGAGCTGGAAATTTTTTTGAAGGGTTGGGTATTTTTCTTTTAATAAAAGTAGCTATCAATTTTGACTTCTTTCTGCTTCAGCCCTGCAAATCCAGCAGCAGCCCTCAAACACAGCTAAGTAAGCAAAGAAGGAATGCTGCCATATACTTAGCTCCAGAACTGAGAGATAATCCAAACAGCACAAGAACGGGAGATTATTTGCCACCTTGCAGTCTGCCTATAGCCTTTATTCTTGGAGAACCATGACTAGGACAGCTAAGTACACAATTTTTTCCTTTTACTCTATTCTACAAATCCATGAGGAACCATGCCTTAATCAGAGACACCAGCTTCCGTCCAGATATCTAAAGGGAAAACATTGGAGGGGCATGGGCTTGGAGTCATGGGAAAGAGACAGGAGAATCTCAGAATGTGCTTTTGACCCACAGGCACTGGGGGAAACAGTCAGTAGGAGTCTCCATATGAAAATATAACACTAGCAGAGAACTCTCAAAAATCTCTTTTGGTAGTCTCCATCTCAGTCACCTTTAATACTTCTTCTCAGTTCTGCTAGAAAGACTGTTCCTAACCTCAAAAATCTCCTACTAAACTCCCCGTGGTTTTTACTGGTAAGTAGCTTTAAACTTCTGGCTCACTAAGCTCAGTGTCAGTAACTTTCCACAGATTTCATACTAATCTCAAGCTTCTCAAGTTTCACATCCTGTCATTGCTTATCTACATCCCCTCTCTCTCATCTTTCATCCATAATGGAGAGAGAGAAGAGCTTTTCTATTCTCTCAGCATTTGCTGTTCAATCTATCACTCATTTTCCTTGAAGGCTCTGGAGTAAATGACAATTTCCAAAATACAAGGCCCTCAGTCATTCAGGAACTTTTAATGTAATAATACAAGAGGGTGGGAGAAGCAGCACTATATTCCATAGTATGGAATGAGCAAGGAAGCCCTTTTACCTCCAACACAGAGGGCATAGCAACTGAGTACATCAGTACCGTGTAGAGCAGCTCTCCTCAAAACATTAGAGGAAATACTCCAAGTAGAAGTTGGCACGGCTCAGCCAGGCCAAGCATGCTGCTTATGGTACTGAACAACAGTCAAGCTAGTTTTATACTACTTAACAAAAAATTTCAATTGGGGAGAAAAAAGGGTGGAATCAGTTTTAGCCCACCTCCTTCTTGCCACCTCGGCCTTTATTAAAATCTCATAGAAATGAAAAATTAAATGAGACAATGGTCTTTAGGATGCAGTGGAAAAAAGTAGGCTGACTGTCAACTCAGACCAGCTCTGAGTTACCTGTTGTTTAGCCCCTTTAATGCAGAATTCCTGGAAGGAGGAAAAGGCTTTAATGCAATCTGCAATAGATTATACAAACCAGTCCTCTAAATTACTTCAAAAATACCAGAACATCTCTGAAATTGTTTCAACCATAGTCTACAAGTTTTCAAACAAGACTTTATTTAAAATGAGCAAGTGCAAATTAGTAGTCATTCCAGTCAAGAGTAAATATCCAGCTCTGGTAAGTTTTCTCCTCTGTATTTTTACAATTATTTCAATTCCCACAGGTCCAGTAAAAGAAAATTAACTGCTGAGGATTCAGAGATTTAAAGCCATTTCTTCCAGATCACAGTTGCTTTGCAGAAATCACTGCCATATGAATACTAAAAACAGTAAAACTTTTTTGTTCTCTTAGTGTGTCATAGTGAACCACAGGACATAGAGACTAATTTCCTGTCCATCTCCTGTGGATTCCCTGGTGTTATAACATTAGAGTTCAACTCATGATGCAGCCCCTCTATCATTAGGGAAACTAATTTCATCCAGTGTACTGTGTTCAGGTTTGTAATTTCATAAACTAAAGCAACTCAGTAATCAATTTTCATTTAAAAAGTCTAATATTTGGAGTGGAGGGGTGCAGAGAAAGGAGAAGAGCAAGACAAAGTGTGCTTGATACAAGTTTCAATTTCTTAAGAAACCAGACAAAAATTGCCATAGGGAAAAAAGCAGCAATCAGAAATACTCCAGCCAATCGATAGATGGAGCTACTAACAGGAAATACAGAACTGTAGAATTAGTTGGGTTATAAAAGATGTTTAAGATCATCCAGTGCAATTGTTAACTCTGCCAAGTGCACCGCTGAACCATGTCCCCAAATGCCACGTCCACACATCTTAATCCCTCCAGGCACGGTGACTCATATGTACCAGGAAGGAACTTTCAATCCTAGGAGCCATTAGTGAGCTGTAAGCCATATGTAAAAGCCTCCCCATCCCCATATGAGCTGCACAGACCACTTCCCCTCCCACACAAACACTCCAGCCTCGCAGAACCCAGTGCAAATACTTCTATGTGAGAGGGACTCCCCTTTGCTATTGCTGATTTTCTTTAATCCAAACTGGCACCTGAAGAGCAGCAGCCAGTGAGTGCTCTGTGGTCAGAGGGATCCAAGGGAGCTCACACAGCACCGAACCTCACTGATAAGGCACTTCTGGCAACATCTCTCATGACTCTGACTTGAGCCTTTGTTACATGCAGCCTCATGAGAATTTCTGCTTGCCCACAAGTTCGGGAGCTTGCATTTTTGAAAGCACAATCATTAGGACTGCTCACCCAAACTATAACATCTTAACAGTTCTCATAAATAAAGATAATACTACCTTAACACAGTAACCATTCCCTTCTTCAAAGATGTCTCCAAACTCTATCAAAATAAGCAGGTACACCATAACATTTCTAAAGACAGAACTAAATCTCACTTCATCATTACATGCCATTGCTAATCCCATGCTTTTGTAACCAAACTTAAGCTACTGTGTGGCACAAGCTAGAACCCAGCTCTCTCTGAACAAGATGACAATTTACCATTTGGCCAATGGACAGGATCCCAATACCCAGTCTCAACACAACAGTTTTTTGCAGCGGGTCAGAGCACTCGGTGCTGTCTCAGTCTGCTCTAGTTGACAATGAATTGGAATTGGTAAAATTAAAACTCCATTAGAATACTAAAGATCCATCTCCCCCTCCCCAAAAGTGCTTCATTCTCAGGGGAATAACATTAGCATTTATGGAAGTAAATGCCTCAAGGTTTTATTAATATGCTAATGAGCTAGAGCCTTCTACCTTCAGATCATAAGCATGAATCATATTCAGCTCAAAGGTAAAAATACTGTTTCTATCAGGAATTTTATATCAAGTTCTACTTCCAGCCCCTCCATCACAATTTCATCTTTATGCCTTCTATGCAGTTTTCTTTTCCAAATCACACAGGGCTTTGAGCTCAGCAGAACGTTCTACCAAGGACCACCAATCACAGCAAGATTCAAAATCATTTTAATACAGATCATTGAGATATACAGATTATCAAACTTTAAGAAAAAAGGAAAAAGGAAACAAATTTTTTACAAGTAAGCTCTACAAACTCAAATTGACAGAAATGTCCAAAATACTACGGTTTTTCAGCAAAGAGCTACAGAAAGCAAAATCTGAAAAAATATCAGCTGCTTTAGATCCCTTTAACATTAAAGAGTCCATTGTGGCCACATTATAGTATTTAAACGATCCACTATTACTTACAGCAGTTATTTCTAAAACCGTATCTCAGTTATAAATCATACAAAAGATGAAAAAATTACTTTGAGAAAAAAAATAACAGGGAGAAGGGTTTTTCATTCCAATATTTGCAAAGTTCCACAGTGCTTGTAACCTTTTTTTCCTGCTAATTTAAAATCACCTTGTGATGCCCTTATGGTTGCTCCTTGTCACAGCAGAGGTTCATGTCTTCCACAGGAGGGAGCTTTTCTCTTCCTAAAATGACAGTCTGTCGCAGCTCTCAATTTGGAAATGCGTAGGAGCTCTAAACATGCTGGAGTGCCCCACGCCTGACAGCTTCCACGCAGGATTACCAAAGAAGATTCAAAAACTGGAAAAGAAAAAAACAAACAAACAAACAAAAACCCCATAAAATGAAAGATTAAGCATTCATAAGCTAAACTCTTCTTGCACCCTTGTTTATATCACACTATTACTATCCCCTAATGCAATTACTTAGTGGAAAAACCTGAGCACACATCAGATCCAACACCATTTATGTCCAGATGTATCTGATATATAAATGTCACTAAAGGTATCAGCTATCCAGATAGTAGAGGAACAATAAATCGCAATAATATGGAGAACTTAACATCTGGCCTAATCACTGAAAATAATATTTGAATACTTGAAAATATATCTTATATAACACAAAAAGAAGGAATCCTCTCTTTGGTCAACTATTTATGAAGCCGGTAAGCGACAGTCAGCTTTTTCTGGGGTCAACCTTAATGGCTACTTTTTCCAGAAAAACAGTTCTGAGCTGCAATTTCCATCAAGGTAACACTGTGCTATCATCACATTTCCCAGCTGCTACTTCCACAACTGTTTCCTTAGCAAAAAAAAAAAAAAAATCACAAAATGCAGAGAAGAGTGATGCTTAAACTGTCCAGTTTTAGAGAAGAGAGAATTTCATATTCCTTGCTGTCTAAGTTTAGTCCAATGGGTAAATCCTCCTGGTGTGTATAACTAACTGCCATCCTTGACAGTGGGAATAACACAAGTACACAAAGGGGACAAGGAGTCCTTGAGGCCTCTTGTAGTATCAAACTTCAAAATATCAGGGGAAACATATGTGATACGTAATAAGTCTGGGCATCATTTTCAGTGTTGAAGAGTGTATTAGGCGTTTGTACACTCAGAGAACTAGAGACACCCTACCCACCCTGTTTCCAGGTTTGCAGGAACTTCAAGAAACCATTCTGCCCTGAATAAGCAATTGCAATATATACACAGACCTATACACACAGATCTAATCCCAGATCAAGGCCCCGTGGAGCAAAATGAGGTAGAAAGGATTAGACAAAATATGACTTCTGTTCCAAAGGTCTTCCATGCTGCTCAGAACCCCTTCCTCCTATTAAAGTCTTAAGTGAAAAACAATACTACCAATCTTCCTTGTCTTCAAATGCTTGCTACCATTTCATAGCCAACTATGATATAATCATGCAGACTGTGTTTTGGCTTGCACATAATCAACACCTAGTAAAACCAGATTCAGCTGCAAGCTGTGGTCAGCTCCACAGAAGGCTAAACATCAAGTCAGAAAAGCCAGCTCTGACTGATAACTTTGTAATGTTAAATTTTCATTAATCAAAACCTTATCTAAAATATCTGCAACCTACAGATCCCATCAGTTCACACTCTGTGCTTGAGGTAATTTTTCTGAGCAAAACTATTCCTATTCACCAGTAATTAACCCCGCAAAATTATCATGCTATATGGTAAATGTAAATCTAAAAAACAAATAATAATAATGAAACAATATAGGCCAGATAGCATAGTTTGAAAAGGCAACCAGAATCTTGTTTGTTTAACATTAATAAGTCCCAGAGGGAAATGGGACAGCTGTGTAAAGCCACCTTAGCTGTCCCTTTTTTTGTCATTGTAATTACATCTGTTGCTGATGTTCCATACAATTAAATGTCTGAAGAGCCTTTCAAAGCACAGGGTGAATACAGATAAAGCTTGGACATAGAAAGTAGATTAAAAAGCATCCTCAGTGATACATTTTGAAAGATACATTTTGGAAAATCTTCTTAGGTCCAGTAAAATCTTTACTGAGGAACACTGTGTATCAGCACTCACTTGACTTACTGGGACTGCAAGGACTTAAAGTGAACTTGACATCAAGTTGTCCAGTAGGACTTGTAGTCACTTAATGGCAATAATTACATTCATTCTATGACTTCTGTTTTCTTTCTTTAAGTTGGGGTTTTTGATTGTTTGGGGTTTTGTTGTTGTTGTTGTTGTTTTTCCCTGCATGTGAAAAGAAATTATGAAGTTTTTAAAGATTCTGGAAACAGTAATTTTCTTACAACTTGAAACTGCAACTGAGAAACACAAAATGCTAGAGTCTACTCAAAGATAAAAAGGGAAAGGACAGAGTATAAGGTAGCTAATTAGAACTTGTCTGGGAAACAAGAACTACTTGGTTACACTTAAATTCCAATATTATAAAGCGATCCACAATGTTTTAACCAAAATTAGATACCCAGATATATAGTTTGAATTTCAGAGTTGCTAAGCATCTAACTGCTTTACTTGGCTTGAAAGAAAAAAAGAATATTAGAAGCTGTAAGAAACAGGAAAAATTTGGATCATTCTGAAAAAGGAAAATTGTCTCTTGCTATTTAAAGCATTACCTGATACAAAAGATTCTTCAAAAATTACTTTTCAAATACAGACTGGAAAAACACATGCCAACGAAAACCTTAACCAAAAAACTTTTTCATTTTCAAGCAGATCCAATGAAAATGAAATATATATACCCACAAAGAGTCAGCTGGAATTTTGGGATGCTTAATTTGTTTGATCTAGAAGATGGAAACTTTCTGACAATATTTTTTCTACGAAAACCTGTTTTAATTTGAAGAGCTCTGTAAGTAGTATTTAATAAGTAAGACTGTGTATAACTGAGTAAATTATATAAACTACTTACCTCTATCATACCTGTAAAGTTACTATGGCTCACAGACATAAGTGATATACATCAAGTGTGATTTTTTTTCCCTTCAAAGGGAAACTTTCTAACAAGATGAAGGGTTAAAATAATCATTTGGCTCTCTAAGATTTTATTTGCCTCAATCCTTTCTTATTCCAAATTAGTGAAAATAAACTGTAGGGTACAATCCTTCCTAAACTACATATCTACTTAAACCTGAACATTAATGTGTCCCAGATATTTTATCCCACTATGGTTCCCTTTTGTGCTACTCTTGCATAGGAGGCATATCAGGATTTTGACTGGAGAGTTGAACCACAGTCTACAGAGGACATGAGTACTTGGCAAAACAAATACAAGAAGCAAGCACAGAAAAACAGAATGGATATGAGGACTCTTCTGCTTCAGTTAGATTTATGTTTGAAGTTGAAATCTGAACTTGGGCAACTACAGTGCCTCCATCTCAGAAGAAAAATAAACACATTGTTTTGGAAGCTCACTTCCATGGAAAATGAAATACTCATATGATCCCTGGATGTTATTGCAACATACCGAATTCAGCTTTACCAAATTCATTAAATAATTTTAAGAGTTTTACAGTCCAAAATGGCTTTCCTTAAGGTATTTGGCCTGTCTGGTAAAAGAGACTTATAACAGTCTATGTGATGCACTGCCATGTCTGAGTAATTTGTATCTGAAATAGAATGGACACAAAAGTGTTCATACTTTCAATACTACTGAGTACAGCAAATAAGAGCAGGAGACTGCAAAACTGCCTGCATCTTGGGAGTTTGTGAGAAAAGTTAAGCCTGGGAAAAGGGAGTGTGTGTGGGAAGGTGTTTTAACATTTTTTATTTCTCATCATCCTACTCTGATTCAATTGCTAATAAATTAAATTGCTTTCCCCAAGTTGAGTCTTTTTCCCCATAGCAGTAACTGGTAAGTGATCTCTTTCTGTCCTTATCACAATCCATGAGCCTCTGGTTATATTTTTCTCTCCTCTGTCCAGCTGAGGAGGGCTGTAAATAGCATTTTGGTGGGCACCTGGTGTTCAGCCAGAGTAAACTCATCGCAATAAGAATTATTTCAAATAGTTGTCATCATGTCTATAAAGAGAAATAATACTAAAACAAAAATAGATCAGCAAAAATTGACAGTAGAAAAAAGAACTGACTCCAGGTATGAGAAAAAGGTTTCAGACCCCATCCAGGTTCCCTGAGATTTGAGAGCACACAACCCATACTGAGTCAGGCCAAAACTCAATTACATCTCCAATTCTAACAGTGTTATGTGAACTTTTGCATGTGTATTTGCAATACCTCACAAAGCTACTATGATCATATCCCCAAATACCAGCTTCAAAATCAACTTTTCAGAAAAGGAAAAAAAAATGTTTATAGTACCAGAAATAAAGAAATTCGGTTTTCTGCACACTAATATTTTGTATTTGATTGACAGTCTTTAAAAAGTTGAGAATTCCAGCTGAAGCTTTTATACAAGTGGGACAAAAAGGTGTTGGTCCTCTATGGATTTTTGGTGTTTAAGAAAAGATATAAACCTATCTCTTTCCTCATGTAAGGAATACATGTAATACAAAAATCCTTCTCCTCTGCTCTGTAGTCTGTTTTCACACAGAAAATGTAGTATTTTGGAGAATTTTGCTTGTAAAATGCAGCTGACCATCACTGCATATACCTCATTACTTAAAGCTAGCTAGAAACGGCTTGTCAAGATGTCAGTGGCAGTAATAGCCCTTCTCCACCCATGGTTTTTAGGGGGTTTTTGGGGGTTTTTAAGCTCAAAGAGTTACTGGCATTCACACCAGCAAAAATGCATCTATCTACACAATTTTAAAACAAAAAAAAAAGGGGGATATAGGTGTTTGTGTCTTATCCCAAGCAGCTAAATCATAATGAAAGCTCCATTGCAGTTCATTTGAAGTATACTTTAAGCCTCATCTGGGAGGACCACATTTAGCCTTTAGCCAGGTCCTCAAGAATTCCAACAGCACTCTTCTCATGAGCTGTGCCAGAAATTTAATGTGCATGGGGTTTTTAGGAGGCTCCTTACTCTGGCTAACAGATGAAAACCTTGCCCCATTCCAACACCACATATGGAGAGCAGCAGACTCTAGTTTTCTTACATCTATGTTCGTTTTCAACAGTACTCAGAACATGCACAAGTTGTTTTTATTAGAGCTGCAGTCAAGAACACATCAGCTATAATGAAAGAGTAAAATTTAAATGCTGCCAAAAATATTTGGCTTTGGTCTACAGTCAATTTGAGCTTTTGCCCAACATCCACTTGCTCTCCAGTCCCATAGAGAGCTGCTCCTCAAAGTCATAGTCTTAAGTTTATTTTGTTTTTACTGCAACTCTTCACTATGC